CCCCCCCCCCTCCCCCAAAACAATAGAAAGCAGTTTGGAATTTATTTTAAGGCTCATTTGGTATAGTTTGCAAGAAGCCTTAATTCTCATCCCATAATATGTTGTGTTGCATTTGTTTTAGATGCTGAAAAATCAGTTGCTGATTCTGCTTCTCAGAATCTGATTTTAAAAAGTAATCTACTGTTTGATTCATTCCCTTGAATCAACTAATTTTGAGCAAATCAGAATTCACGAAATGCAGAATCAAAGCCGAATGAACCCTTAGTCCCATAAAGTGTCTTATTTGAACAAAATAAGCTAATTTTTATCATATTTAGTGGGTTTTTATAAAAAAGTGTCCCAAACAAGTTGAGCGGGTTAGATATAGTTAAACAAAAGAAATTTCAAAATATAGTTATATACTCCGTAAGGCAATCTTTAGTAGTTCTACCTTATTAAATTAAAATATATTGCACCTTTGTGAAATATGACTGTTTTATGGGACTGAGGGAGCATATGTTAGTGCTTCGGCAATCAGATTTGTGAATGCAAAATGTAAGATGGAATTTTGCTTCTCACTCGCTTTCATTTCACATATATAAATTCATCTGTCCCGCATACCTAGGCTTCATGATCCATTTTGCTTAGATGTGCATTTAATGTTCTATATCCAAGTCTACCCCGGCAATTTAATGCAACAAGTGTTTATGGGCACAGCCAGAGAGGATTGTCGGAAGCAGCCACGGGTATAGCAGCGACATATGGAGCCTAGGATTGGTTTTACTTGAGTGTGCAACTGGTGATTTCCCATATTGCCCTCCCCAACCGGGAGAGGGGTGGACTATTTACGAACTTATGTCAACGATAGTTGATCAACCCGAGCCTCGTGCATCTCCTGATCAATTCTCTCCAGAGTTCTGTTCTTTTATCTTCTCATGGTATGTGCTAACATTCTTTTTTTTGGAATTTCTCTCCGAAGATGAGGAAAGTTTATGAGTGATGTGTTTGGTTGGGGAGCAAAGCAAATGAGCTATTTTGGAAGATTTTTGTAATATACTCAATGTATAACAATATACATTGAGTATATTGTTATATACATATACTCAATGTCACATGAACTGGCCAATACTACTCTTTCAAGTTTATAGCTATGGTTTCTTTCTTTTGACATTGGAGTCCAATGAGTCATAATATGACATAAATCCATTTGATGACCCTACGGTGCTCCTTTGGGCCCGGCAGTCGTTCCCATCTCCTGACCCCCACCCTCCCCAAAAAAAAACCCAGCCTCTACCCCCCCTTTCCATTTCGCCGATATGCTATAGAAACTACTTTCAGGCCCAACAAAGCACCGTAAAGCCTCAATGTCATAATATGACTTTGGAATCCAATACCAAAAGAACCGTTGTGCGTCAATAATAGATGCTTTAGTTGCTCATGATTGTGTACATAATTTAGTGTGCAGAAGGATCCGAAGAAAAGACTCTCGGCAAACGAATTAATGGTATTCGAATTACTCTCTACTCTTTGATGTCAATTTACCTTTGTCTTCATCCATTCATGACCTCCAACACATAGTTTTTAACTCACTAAGCATTACATTGTCCATATGATACACAGAGGCACCCATTCATCCACAAGCACGACGATCTCGACATCGATCTTTCCTCTTACTTCTCAGCCATTGGATCTCGGCTCACTTCACTTTGAAATACAATAATGAACCTTGGAATGAGATGTGGCTTTATGAAGAAGGCAGGAAAAAACAATGGGGTGGGTATGATTCTTATGGGCAGCATTGTATTGTTTGCTTGGTATAAAGTTATGACAATCTTTGTGCCAATATAATTGTCAGCACACAACTGTAGAAAATACTCATAAATTTGTTTCTTTTCTCAGCTATATGATTTCATGTTTCTTAATGACACTAAGTTGTGTTTGTTATATATTTTAGTGTAATTGGAAAAACTATGACCAATGGTATCCTAATAATCATCAAAGAAGTTTGGTGGTGCGGAGTGCACGCTTCATTGAGTTTGTTACGATATAAAACCCGTTACACCGGGGGTTCCAAGGGGGCAGCGCCCCCGAGCAGGGTTCAAGGGGCGGCAGCCCTTGCGGGGTTCAAGGGGCGGCAGCCCTTGAAGAAACTTCCGCGCGAAGAGTTGCGTGCTTTGGGTAATAGCCGCGAATGGTGTCTTCTCCTTCTCACCCCTAGTCTATAAAATTCCCCTGGGCATGGTCGAATTTCGTTCGGTTTTAGACACAGCAATTCTCATATTTCGTTCTTGATACTTTCGAGTTTTATCCGATTGAATTTTGGAGTGAACAACCAAAATATTCAATCTGAAAGTGTTTACACAACTCTCGATTCATCCAAGTTATCATTAATTTCCCCAACAGTGTNCCCTTGAAGAAACTTCCGCGCGAAGAGTTGCGTGCTTTGGGTAATAGCCGCGAATGGTGTCTTCTCCTTCTCACCCCTAGTCTATAAAATTCCCCTGGGCATGGTCGAATTTCGTTCGGTTTTAGACACAGCAATTCTCATATTTCGTTCTTGATACTTTCGAGTTTTATCCGATTGAATTTTGGAGTGAACAACCAAAATATTCAATCTGAAAGTGTTTACACAACTCTCGATTCATCCAAGTTATCATTAATTTCCCCAACAGTGTTCATATATGGTTTCACTTTTTCTTTTTTGAGGGATATCTTGTTTAACTCTTAATCTAAATAACCGAGTTTGACTTTTTCAGTTCGGTTTTATCCCAAATTGAGAAATACTCGGTACTTCGATTTGGTTTTACATAAAAATATGTGAATTGGCAATTGATCCTTTCCTTGTTTTGAATTTTAAAATTTAAAAAAAAATCAAATAAAGAATTAGACCACGCGTGCTTCCACTCACAACTTTTCGATTTTTTAATACTAGATTTTACCCGTGCGTTGCACGGTATTTAATTCATTTCAAATTAAAAATGCCCCGTATGAGAATATTCTACATGTAAAGTTAAATTGGAATTAAATATACTCCATATAAATCTCATACACTCTCTCATTTCAAAAAATTTTATCGACATAAAGAGTGTTGTCAAGTAAAATTATTCTATCTACCACATAAGAGTTATCTTTCCATATTTAAATGTCCCAATATTGAAGTGATATATTCTCATCCGGAAATGTATAATGAGAACCAAATTTGTACTAACGCTCTCAAGCATACAATTTTTCCGAAAGACAATGATCCGAATAAATGAATGATACATGTTCAAGTTGAGAAACACGTGCTTGAAAGTTAAATTGGAATATTCTACATACAATTCATTTCGAAAACTATTTTATAATATAGCAAGAACATGTTACATTGCATTTAATAAGTTTGTTTAGCTTGAACATGGCCATTTACTTGACTTGGTGATTACAATATTACATTTATATAAATTGCGATAATGGAAGTTAGTAAATTTCGATAAGATTTTGTTTTGCTCGAGCATTTTTAATAGTAAAATTTGCACTAAATATGATTAAAACATAATGACTTTCCTAATGTAGGACTTAAACTTTTTTATTCCCTAAATAGGACTTAATAATGACCTGGTGGAAGGAATAATGTCCAGTAATGATGGACATTTAGTTGAATAATGACTACTTGTTAATGACCAAAGGTCCTACATTAGGAAATAAAAACATATGGTCCTATTTTGGGAAAGTCATTATGTTTTATTCCTATTTAGGTAAATTTCTCTTTTTAATACTACTGACAAACAATGAAGATGTCTTAAAATACTAAAAAAAAAATGGGACTATTGAAGATAGAACTCATAGAAGCCCCTGTAGAACTCATAAAATACTCAATTCGAACAAATTATTGCTATTTCTACACAAAAATAGAGAAGTATTGTTGCTAAAAGTTTGACAACAACCTAAAATAGGTTGACCTTTGCAGTCTCATGGTCCTTGGTTCATCAACTTCTTCTCCGATGTTTCCCTGCCCCGAAAGCGCTTGAAAATAAGAATTTGTACCAGAATTTTCACCTCAATTTACTATTTGTGAATAAAAATTAAGAAAATATACACGAATTAATTAGCACAAAAATGAATAAATTGATGCTAAACTTCGGATGTACATTACTCGAGTTTTTGTAGAGAATTTCGCAATTGAGCGGGAGTAGTTACAACCTTTTTTCCGGCTGCTACTGTAAATAGAAGGATAGGATTTAGGCCCTGTTTGGCATCAGCATTAGAGTTTTGAAAAAGCTATCCGACGGTAGCCTTTAGCGTTAGCGTTTTCAGAATTAATCTGCACCGTTAAAATTTTATCTAAAACGCTAACGCTAATCGAAAACGTTGTTACCAAACAAAGCTTTAGTTTTGTTTTTTTTTCCAGTTTTTTATACTCCGTATTTCATTTCAATTTGACATGTGATTTTTTTTAATTTTTGAAACGCTGGCATGTTCTAAATTAATCTAAAACAACATCTAGAGACATTTCAATTTACTATCAATAATATAATTTCCTTTTATTTAAAAAAAATCAATCCCTAAATCTCTCAACTCCATATAGATTGGGAACAAATTCTATACAATTTGATGGAGAAGCTTATGGGCAATCTGATCCCGGGAGTGCATTGCGGCGGCCGACAGAACCGGATTTTCCGGGACAACCTCGTCATCGTACAGATCGAACCTTAACTCCGGCCGCAATTCTTCCCCTCTCATCTCGCAGATGTTGTGCAGGACGCAGCAGGCCCCCAAAACCACCGGCAAGTCCTGCAGTTTCGCCTCCGTCCTCCTCTGCAGGCAGCTCCACCGCGCCTTCAGCCGCATGAACGCCTCCTTCGCCACCGCCTCCGCGCCGGAGATTCTCTCGTTGAACCCGTGCTGCGCCCACGTCAGATTGCGGTGAGTGTATGGCACTAGGATCCCGTCTGTTAACGGATGCCCTGAATTCCCGACGACCCAGAGGTCTTTCAAGAGTCCCCTGTTTGCCCGCTCGTAAAAAGCGGATTTTGCGAGGATTTTGTCGTCCGCCATGGATCCCGGCCACCCGATGCAGACGTCGGTGAAGATTCCGGCGGAGTCAACGACGCCTTGGACTGTGACGGTGTACGACGGCTTTTGGTTCCTCTCCGTGAGGCGCTGGTTGAAGTAGTCCGAGGCCGAGAGTTTCGGGGCGACGATCGGAATGTGGGTGGTGTACATTGCTCCGGCGAGGTTTGGGATTCCGGTGAGGAGTTCGAATTCGCGTTTGATGTTCGTTATGCCCTGTTCTTCCGGCCACCGGAGGAATTTCGGCATGAGAACGGTCCGGATTGCCGCTGACACTTCGAGGACGAGCTTGTGGCAGGTGGAGATGCCCAGCCCGAACCTCTTCGAGACCTCCCGGAGAGGTTCGCCGGTGGCTAGCCGCCAAATGCAGACCGCCACGCGGTGGCGGACCGGGATGGCGAGGCGGAGGGTGGTGTCCTTCTTCGTCACCGCCGGCTCGAGCTGGTCGCAGATGAAGTCGAAAGTGGCTCGGCTCATCCGAAACGCTCGCTGGAACTCCGCCTCCGGGAACTCCGGACTGTTGCACTGCTCCCACCACGCCGTCGACCGCTCCTTCACCCACAACCTCCGGTTGCCTTGCTGCGGCGCACTTCCGCTGGACGTCGCAACATCCTCAGACCCACCGCGGCTGCGCTTCCTGTTCTCATTCATCACTATCTCCGGCGAAGATTGACCACCGGGAAACACCGCATCCTCACCGGAGCACGCCGGAATATGCTCTGTATCCGGCATTCTGTAATCGGAGAGCACGAAACAGCTGAGAATCTCTTCGATTGGATCAATGGGTTTGATCTTCTTGGACACGGGTTGCGGGAAGCTGCCGGAGAGGTCAGAATCGTGGAAGAATCCGATGGGATTAACTAGGAAGAAGTCGTCGGAGATGGGGTGAGGGAAAGCAGAGATTTCCATTAAATAAGCTCGAAATTTTCTGTGTAGAAATCTTTGATTAATCAGAGACGAAGAAGAAATGGTGTGAATGTGAACGGAGGAGGAATTTGAACATTATATATATGTGTGTGTGCAGCTGGGTGGGGGACGGAAGCGCGTAGATGGGGACGCGGTGTCGCGTGGGGTTTCAGAATAGGATTTACGCGGGAGGGGAGTCAAAGCGGGTTGTTGACCTCCGTGGGCCCACCGGCCAGGGAATAATAATTAACGAGTAAAACGCTAATAAGCTGCCACGGTTGCAAATGTGAAAGAGGATCAGAAATTTCGGCGCGTGGGACCCCGGAGACTGCACTTTTGGTTTTGAGTACGGCGGAGGACGGTCGGAGTAGAGAGAAGAAGACGGCAACCGACCAAAACGACGACGGGTTTTTCCAAAACGAATTAGTCCTAAGAGATGAATGGGTTCGGATCACCTGTCGGGGCTCCCTCGCTCCCCTTCCCCTGTCCATTGCTAAACAAGTGCAACGCCACCAAGTTTTTTTTTTTTAATTTTTTGAATGTAGTCAATATTTAAATTTATTTCTGAATTTCATCACAATATATATATATAGGGAGTACATAAATTGAATTGAAAGATCATCCCCAACCAAACACACATTAATCAATATTATATCCCAAATTCCCAAGCACGCACACATCTCTAAAATGATGGTTTTTAATGTTGCAAGTAGGGGATTTTTTATATTGTTGTCCAGTTAGACTTATATTTGAGAATAACGTTAGAGATTAACATTAGAGCTTTGAAAAGTTTATTTACGTGTAGCGTTTAACGTTAACAATTTCAAAATTAATTTACACTATTAAAATTTTATTTAAAATGGTAACACTAATCTTTAACGTTATTCCCAAACAATCGCGTAATAAATGAGACTATAGTGCAAGCTTCTATTAGAGCCTAGTGTCATAAGCCAATCCAAGGATTTGTTTATTTAGATTCTAAAAATTAACTTCGAACTTTTTCAACTGCTTCCAACTTTTTCAAACTTCTTTCAATTTCTTCTATTTTCTTCCAACACCAATTAAAAAAAGTATGTACATACGATAAATATAAACTAATGTCATATATCTAAAGTTCTAACATTCGACCTCAAACGCAAACGAAAGTAACCTCGTTCTATCCCGAACTGCATTAAAAAAAGCGAGGAGCAGAGGATAGAGAACAGAAATTTGTTTCACTATATATGTTCAACTCATTTCGTTTCACTATGTGAAACTCATTTAGTCGCTTTGAAGATTCGTTGAACTAGGTTCAACTCATTTGGATTGAAAGGAATCGAAGACATGTAGGCTTTGTGATGACCAGCTTTAGTAGAAGTGAGTAGCAGAATTGGGTGGACGGTCTATCCACCCTTAAGTGGTATTACCAGCCATTCTGATAAAGCAGTTGATTTATTTTTTATTTTCTATAAAACTTCAATTGGTACGCACAAAAAACTAGCCAATTCAACATCTTTTTTTTCAATTTTGACTGGGGTCAAAACTTCATAAGTATGAGTCTGATCCCAAATTAGTTTTCTTATATATTTATTTGAGTGATTATTTAATAAGTAAATTCTGTAAATAGTTTTTTTAAATTGGGGGTTTTCAATATTTAGTCCTTCATAATCAATTATTATTTTTGCAGTCCTTCATAAGATCGTGTGGTACGCCCATGGGAAGTGGCGACAGGAAGCAACGGGAACACCCCCCCTCCCCACGGGAACAGGAAGGGCAGGGTTCCCCTTCCGTTTTTCTCTTTGCCTAATGTTCGGGTTTTATTTATTTATTTTTTGAAAGCTAACTGCTGGAGAATTTTAAAATTCAAAAAGTTTCAAAAGTTTCATTATTTAAACACAAACTCACCTCATATTTCTCATACAATTCCCATCCACTCGTTTGAGGTATAGTAATTTTTTTAAAAGATTTTTTTATATATTTGAGTGTAATGGATCCATTCCGACCACCAGTGTCTTCTTCCGATTGTCCATTTCCTTTATTTGTGGCATACTCTCAAAGACCGACATCTTTCGAACTCTAACAACTTCAAGAATGCCAACAAATGCATTGGAAACAATTTGAGAACCAATATTGGCCAACTGTCCAGACCACTGTCAAGCCGCCACTGCACAAAACGAATCCGTCACATGACTTCCCTTTCGATATCGATGCGGGTATCGATGAGGTTATGCCTGAAACTCAACCTCCTAAAAAATCAAAAAAGGAAGGTAAAACGTGAAGGTGAAACGAGCACAACTCGAAGTGCTTTGAAAAGTTGGACATGTACCAAAGAGGAAGCGTTAGCCAGAGCTTGGGTTAACATTTTCACTGATCCGGTAAGAGGTGCTTTTATATTTTTTTATACTTTCTTAAGTTTATATATATTTTTTCATAAGGTTTTTTCTTAAGTGCTCCGATAATTTTTTGATATTTGTTTTCTTAACGAACTAATTTTTAACTCGTGTAAGGAAATGCTCAGACGAGTGATGGGTTTTGGGCTAAAGTGACCGAAAAATTCCATGAGTTGATGCACGCATCAGAGCCGTACCACCTCGTTCACTCTGTATCTTCCTAGTACCGCAATATGAATAAAAAATTCAAAAATTTAGCGGTATCTACAACAACATTTATGTGAACCGTGCAAGCGGTTAGAGAGATCAAGACGTGTTGCAGCAAACGCTTGTAAAATTTCAAACGCAATTTTCTTATTCATTTCCGCATCTTAGAGCGTGGGACATCTTCCACGAACGTTCTAAGTGAAGCAAAATGTCAAAATTCGGCGACCATAGTCCCAGTATGTCTGATGCGCGTTGGATGCCGAGTATGAGTGACGATAATGACGACATACATACCTACACCAACGGAGCCGGAGCGACCCATCGGAAGGAATCGTGCCCGAAAAAGAGAAGGGTCCTAGCGCATGGCGCCCGAACACGAACCCTTACTTCAAGGGTTTGAGCATCTCCCCACTTTGTTGTCTGCCTTTGCGGAGATGCAAGCGGAGAGGCTTCGGGTTAAAGAAAAAACCATAGCGGTGAGAGAAGCTTGAGCAAAGGCGCAAAGAAAAAGAGGCTCAACTTGCCCTCAAAAAGCAACCTTACGGTTTATAATTTCATTTTCGATATGTAAATATAATTTTAATTTTTTTGTAATAACTAATGAATAATTTAAATGGTTATAATATATTTTTAATCTAAATGAGTCGAATATTTTTGAATGAACCGAATATATTTAAATGAATTAAAAATTTAAATGAACTAAATATGTTTAATATATTAAAAAAACCAAGTACTAAACTTAAAAAAATACTCAAATAAAATTTGAATTTGAATATCACCTTATCTTAGAGAAGACGAAAATTATTCATGAATATTCGATTCATTCAGTTCGTTTACAACGTTAGGCGTAAATGAAGGCCCAAGGTGAAATAACTATTGTGAATGAGGCCAGGGAGTAATTTTTATCCCTCATTTTAATGCCAAGAAGCCAAACTTCAGACGGATGGAAGGACTATATGTGGAATGACACACATTTATGAAGGACCGCGAAACTAATAATTGAATATAAAGGAAAATATATGAAATAACTTCTAATTTTAAAGGACTGTTTATAGAATTTACTCTTATTTAATTAAGTGGTTTTTTGTACTTTATTTTTTACAATATTTTTTAACTGTTTTCAAATTTTTCCAATTTCTTCCAACATCAATCTAGTTTTTCTACAAAAGTTTAATTTAAATCAAATTTAAGTTTTATTACACCAGATCTAATCAGATCAGATTTTAATCAACATTAATATGGGTATATCTAAATACCGTTAACAATACATATTATTTTCACAATCATCAATATGTTCATTATGATTTAATCATTCATGATTAGCATTTTAATCAGAATATTTATGTAACGCCCCGAAACCCGCCTTAGTATTTTTAATTAATTTATATAATTAATTAATTAATGAGCCAATCAATACGAAGATTTATTTTCTGGTTTTTGTATTTAATATGAGAGTTTGCCTACATTGTAGGGCTCATTGTTCTGAACCCGACCACGCAAACGGATTGAGAATCGGACTTACTGGGCCCAAGATACGACTGCCGAATGAGGTAATTGTGCTTAAATCTATCCTAACTGGCTAGGAAGTGTAAACTGGAACCTAAAATCTATTTAATTTTTATACTCCCTCCGTCTCCAATTTGATTACAAATTGCGGGTTACGGAGTAAAATTTTCTATTTTTGAAATCATTTTATTTACAAATTGGTATATCAATAAGATATAAAAATTACATATTAAAATCATTTTTTCACCCCACCTCTGCTCGTCTTCCCTTCACTGTCCGGTCAGCCAACAGCCGCTGAGAGCTCCGCCGGGGACGTCGTCGGCGACGACTTTCTTGCAGAGTCTCTGTCTCTCTCTTTCGTTTGCTGTTCATCGTCCTCAGCCGGGTTTCCCTTCGCTGGTTCGTGACTTCGCCGGATGCCAGAGCAGCGCCGTCTCCCTCCGAACGGCGACAGGAGCGGTGGCCGTGCGTTGGCAGCAACAGTGACACCCCTCTCCCCCAATTTTCTATTTTTTGAAATCATTTTATTTACAAATTGGTATATCAATAAGATATAAAAATTACATATTAAAAAAACAACGTAAAAAGTTCTACCAAATATGAGGTGACAAGAATATTTTGTTTTATCAAATATTTAATAAAATCGCGTAAACAAACAAAAGTTATCGTGAGGATTGAAAAAAATTGTAATCTATTTAGGGAGTATTAAATAGGTAGGGGTTAGTAGACTAGGATCTCTCTCTTCCGTTCATTTTTTTTCACCCCTCTCCCCCAACTCGAATTTCAATTCTTCAATTTCGAGGTGGTTAGTTGTTCAAATATCTATCGTTAGCGTTGATTTGTAGATTAAGATCTTGTTTGTATTAATCTTGCGATTGATGGTGAATTTGTGCGAATTGATTGTTGGAATTGCTAAATTGAATGTTGAATTGGTTGTGGGTTGACTTGGGAAGGAATCTCCGGCCAAACTCCGGCGAGTCACGGCGGTGGGCCGCCGGCAGGGGCTGTGGACGGATTGGTTGAGTCCAATTTGGACCCAATTGATCCGATTTGGACTCAATTGGTTCAATTGGGTCGCTTGGGTCTAGTTAGGTCAAGTTGGGTTTGGTTAGGGTAATTGGGTTTCAATTGGGGCTGTTGTGGGCCGACCGGTGGGGCTGTCGGGCCAGCCATCTCGGGCCGGACGGTGGGGCTGCTGGGCAGCAGTTCGGGCCGGTTGGCGGGGCTGCCCGGGCCGGCTATTTGGGCTTTAGGGGTCGGTGGTTTGGGCCGACAATATGGGGCTGCCCAAATGGGCAATGGGTTTGGCTGCCAGGTCGGTTTGGCGGGTTGTTGGGCTGATCCGGTGGTAATTGATACTGTTCCGGCGGGTGCAGCATGCCTGAGGATAAGTCCTTAGTCCCGACTCCCGAGTTCGTGACACAGGTAAGTTATTTTAATATTGTTGGGCTAAATCTTGTTGTTTGAGTATGACGATAATCGGCGAGAAGTGATTCTTTCGATAGGCCGCTAAGTGTGTTGTTCTGTTTATGAAAATGTTTAAGTGATTGTTATCACTTGAGAACTCTTTTGAAAATGGTCACCTAGTATACCTAGGCGGATCTGACCTGAATTGGATAGTTAAATCACTGATAGGACTGTTGTTAGGTTCGGGCCTTGTGGAGCATGTTTGCATATCCAGTGGTCCAGGGTTCAAAACGTACGTACGGGAGTCACTGTTCTACCAAAGGGATTCTTCGGTAGAGACTCCAACCCGCCCATTGAGGATTCTCTTTGGGCTTGTTCGAGCATCGACCTCGAGGGATCCGCTCGAGTGTCCGTAACTCTAGTCTGTTGAATTTAGCCTTAGTGTTGTAGAGACAGAAATAGCCCTTTGGGAATAAATGAATTGGAACTATTGGATCCTTGTATATGAAAATAAATGTTGATTGTTCACTGATGTTGCTGATTATATAAATGTGATACTATCTGTGAAATTAATTCTAGCGTTAGATATTTCTCTACTCAGCTTTCAGCTGAGCGTGTAGTCTTGTTGTCTTTTACTGCACGCAGGTAGGGATTTGAATCGTGAGGGCCAGCCTGGAGTACGTTGACGCGTGACAACGTGGATGATGTCACCATTTTTATTATGGACATCTAATTGTTGCATTAATTAATTATTTGGGTTAAACATCTATTTTAAAATGTTATTTTGAGACTACCACACCTGATGGACTTTACTCTGAACTTTTCGTAATTAACTAGGTATCTAGATGTTTTTGAGTTAATTTATCTAAATTGTTGTGTTGTGAATATCAACTTAGTAGCAACTCGATTCGTTAACTCCTCGGTTCGGGTTACGCGAGTTGGGTGTTACAATTCATCAAGGTTTAATCATCATAATCATCAATCAATAATCATCATTATAGTCATCAATTAGTAATAATCATCATACTCCCTCCGTCTGGAAATAATTTTCCCATTTTACCTTTTTTTTCCGTCTGGAATTAATCTTCCCACTCTACTTTTTTTTAATTCTTCCATAAACACCCTTCTCTAGCAACCACTCCTTTTTTTTCTTCTTATCTACCCCGTACTTCTCCAATTTCTCCCAATCTTCATCCTTCCTCTTCATCGTCAGTCTTCTTCATCCCCTCTCTCTCTCTCTCATTTCTCGTCCTTTTTCTCCCGATTGGATCTACTCCTTGACTTTCTTCTTCTTCTTTTTCATCATCTTCTTCTTTCTTTTGATTCTTTGTCTCACAGATCTGTGAGATCTTCGGTGGCTAATCTCTTCATGTATCTTCTTCTTATTTTTTCTCATCCTCTATCTCCACCCTTATTCTTTCTCCTCCCTTTTCTTTTATTCTCAGACATGGCGACGGTAAGGTTGAGATATTTCTTCTCCTTGTTTCAATTTTTTAGATCTAAGATTTTAGGATAGGGCGACGAAGATGACGACGAAGGAGGGGCTGACGGTGGCGGCAATAGGGCAGAGGCGAAGGTGGGGCAAGTGGTGGTGGACAGTGGTGGGGGCTGTCAAAGGTCGGTAGAACAAGGGGTGGCGGCTGCTGGACTATGGCGTGGGACATGAAGGCAAGGGGCATTTTGGACAAATTACACATATAGTCAACTTCCACTAAAAATGAGAAAAAGTCAAACTGGGAAGTTTAATTCCGGACGGAGGGAGTAATATTCAATAACAAATAGCGGCCTAGCTTTGGGTGTTAACACCCTAGCTAACCGTCATGCATCACACAAGATTCTTTATTTGTCAAAAACATCATATTTAATTATAAAAATCATTTCCATATTGATTGTAATCAAATGGTATCAAAAATAGGAATTTACATCTTCAAAAATAGCATTTTTGTCTTAAAAATGTTCACAACGAGAAACCGTAGAGTCTCAATGCTCGACCGTACCGTTCAAGACCAATTGCAGTCTTACGGTACCTCGGTACCTTGATACGGTACCTCGGTACCTTGATACGGTATCTCTGTACCGTGACACGGTACCTTCGTACCGTTAAACGGTATGTAATTACTGCATACGCGCAAAGAGAACCACACGTCACTATTCATCATTTTCAACTTTCGACCCATTTTTCTCAAATCACTATACAAACGATTTATTTAAAGTTTTAAGAACCATTCTTAACAACCATAAATCATTTACAAACAATTTATTTGAAGGTTTTAACAACCATAAATCATTTCTCTCATCCTTCAGTCACCAATTCTTCATCTCCTTCTGATGCGAGAACCGGGAGGGAGACGATGCAGGGGATGGCCGGGGTTTTTAACCCTAGGTCTGGACCTTGGATCTCCGATCGTGATGGAAATTAGCGAGTAGATGTGAGAATCCGACGACGGTGAGCGACAAAAACGAAGTCAAATCCGGCCACCTTACAAGAGTTTTTCAAGGGTATGATTGTTTTGTTTCGATTTTTCAGTTTCCTCTTCGTTTATGTATTGATTTCCTTCTTAGTGTCCATTTTTAGTAGGATTGTTTATATTTTGGGCTTGAACAAATCTTAAACACTCTGTAATCCTGAGAAACCACTGATTTCATTTCTGTTTTGAACCCAATATGGCACTACATTTATGTTCTAGTTTTTAATTGATACAGAGTATGAGAGTAACTCCTACTAATGATTCTGAACCCTTGCTTAAGAGTGATAATTTATACTCTGTATAAGTTTGTTCAATCAAAAATTTCGAATTTCTAGTCCGTTATTCATACAAAAATTTTGAATTAGTTACTGCTAGTGTGAGTCTTTTTTTTTGGGAGACTGCTCTGAATCTAAGGCATGAACCAAACTGACCAGATGACTCCAAAATATAGTGAGAGAGTGAGCATGGATCCAAATGAAGGTGTGGAAGCCTATGTTTATTGTTGAGCATATGATTTGCATTTTATAAAGAAATAAATAAGTCATGCTTATACTAATCATTTAAATTAATTTTTTAAACTGCCCCAACATCAAAATGCAAGCCATTTTTATTTTGCTTTTCAAAATCTTGTTTTAAATTTTTCTTTAAAAGCAAGAATGGTTACCTTCTGGTGAATATTGATTTTGTCTGTTTGCCTAATCAAATTCCAGTCTCTTCCTCATTTCTTTCTTTCAGGTCCACCAACAAAATCGGGTGATGAAATACCCAGTATTCAGCATGCTCTAAGAGGTTATCCCACATATACTTATTTCTAGGATGTTGTTTTTACTCTTCTCCTTTTCATTATATTTTTCTTCTAGTGTGTTCCAGTGTACCAAGTGATCAAGCTTCATTGTTTCATTTATTCCTTTTCAGGCATTAGGTCTTTCCTACAAGCATATGGGTATGTTCACTGCTGCTAAGGTCATTATCAAAGTATCACTTAGCTTTTAAGAATTTAAACTTGATTTCTAGTATCACTTAGGTTTTTCATTTTCTAGACTATTAAAGTATCAAGTTATGGAGAACTTATTTTCTAGGCTTTTGAGAATTTATACTTAATCTCCTATTTCTTTTGACTGAAATTTTTTTATTTTTTACTCTTAGGTAGATGCTATGGAGACTCTAGGTTGGAACATTATAGACAGAGACTTTCTAATTGTAAGTCTACATGTTTTTATTATACTGATCATGCACAGTATAATGGTTTATTTTTTGAGTTTTCCAAATATATCAATTCCAGGGATCAAATTAATATAAACTAGCTTTACCAAGGCGACAAGGCAAAGCAGATGGTTATAATCCTGGGATCTAGTCGGTGCATCTGTAACATCCAGTTTTAAAACCCATTCATCTATAGTAAATTTTTCTATGAAGTATCTGAACATGTCTCACTATATCAGTCCATGAGATTACTATACTTGTGATGTTCCCTCTTATTAATGCACTATGTGTGTGTGTATATATATGTATACACACACACACACACACATAATACAGATGAACATTATTGTAGACTAATTGTTACTGGTATCTCTGCAATTTATTTTCTCTGATTGCAACGTAATACCAAGTGTGGATAACTGTTTGCCCTTGGTTTTATTCCTATGCCCAATGATACTGCCTTGTGTAGTTATAATTGCATTTGTTTAGGACTCAAAATTTACCTCTTCTTATGATTTGTTTGATTGTGATCCCTGATTTTTATTTTTTTCAGGTAACCAGTGTAAGTTATCATCCAAAAGAGTAAAGACATCTACATCATAACTTCATCCGTGGACAGGACAATTCAAGCCTGGAAAACTGGAAAGAGAAAAAAGAAAAAAAATGATGCTAAAGCCCGATTTTGTAGTAGCCATACTTTAGACAAGAACCTTTACTAAGGGCCTGTTCTTTAGAACTGGAAAAAAAGAGCTGGATGTTCGAAGAAATTGGAAGAAACTGGAAGGAACCGGAAGAAATTGGAAAAACTGAAAAAAATTAAAAAAACAGAAAAAACTAGAAAAAATGGAAAAATCTTAAAAAACTTTTTAAAAAAAATTATGTGTGGTTTTATATTATTCTCATTCTGATTCTTGTTGTTGTTGTTGTTATTAATATTATTATTATTATTATTATTATTATTATTATTATTATTATTATTATTATTATTATTATTATTATTATTATTATTACACCTTGGTTCCCATGACATTGGGAACCAATGTCATGGGATGACCCGGGGGCGCTCCGGTGTTCTGTTCGTAAAATTGACGGTTCCTAACCCCCCTAACCTCCCCGGTAAACCCCCCCACCCGCCCCAATCCGAACGCACCCCCCACCCCCTTCAATTGCACCCCACAAGTTGATTTTGACTTTGGAGTCAAAATTTGACTCCAAAGTCAAAATCAACTTGTGGGGTGCAATTGAAGGGGGTGGGGGGTGCGTTCGGGTCGGGGCGGGGTGGGGGGTTTACCGGGGAGGTTAGGGGGGTAGGAACCGTCAATTTTACGAATGTGGCACCGGAGCGCCTCCGGGTCATCCCATGACATTGGGAAACCAATGTCATGGGAACCTTGCCCTTATTATTATTGTTGTTTTTTTTTTTGTTGGTGGTGTTATCACGTTATCTTAATGATTGTCTTTAAGATAAAAAAATATTACGAGTATTATTTTTTCATATATAAAAATCTAGTTTGAAAAAATAATTAGAATATAAAATTAGCATAAATATTACACTTCTTGGGTCATTTTTTCTTTTTCAAAATGTAGTTTTCTCTTGGTTTCATAATATTATTCTGCCAGGCCCTTAAATGTAATTTACCTTATATAAATTTAGATTAAAAAATATTCTATATAACTATTTATCCATAATTTTTTAAATAGTTTCCTAATTTTTAATGTAGATTACTATACAAAAAAACGGTATTATTCATATTAAAAAATTGAAGAAACTGGAAGAATGAATGTGAATCATAGAATATAGTGAGATGCAAAAATGAAATAAATAGTTATGAACATAAAAGTTGTACTACGTAATTAAAAAAAGTTGTAATAATAATAATACTCCCTCCGTCTTTATTACGCGTTACGAGGCTTGACCGACTCTATTTTCAATTCAATTTAATTGATTATAGAAGTAAAAATTTAAAATAAAATTTATATAGTAATAAACTAAATGAAAAGTTCTACAAAACTAGAGGTGACAAGACTATATTATTTTATGAAATGACTAGTAAAATTGAGCAAACAAAGTGAGTAAAGTTTGACCATGTAAATAGTATCTGGGAAGATCTATGGTGGACAGAGAGAGTATATTTTTTTAGAGTGATTTGTCAGAAAGTACGAAGAATTTGAAGAAAATAAATATAGTTGGAATAAATTAGAAGAAACTGGTAGGAATTGGAAAAAACTAGAAGGACTGAAAAAAAATGGAAGAACTGGAAAAAACTGGAAGTTAAGAGTTCGAGCTCTAAAAAACATGCTCTAAGTCTAAAAATAGAATTGGCTTTTTTATGTAGTTTTGCTAGTTGTAGTGTATTTTGGAAGTTTGATTTTGTATATTTTAGTGGTTGATTTTAATGGATCCGAAAGCGTATATGTGTGCTCTGTTCTATAAATAAATTAGCCGTAATTAGTATAAAAATCTTTAATTTAAAGAAGATCGATATTTAAAAAATACTTTTTATGTTCTTATTAATAATGGATTTTATATTTTTTAAAAAAAAAATTAATACAAGAATTGCAACACTTACAAGTGATGATGTTTTAAGAACACATGTGAGTGTGGCAAAATAAAATATTGGTCACACTTACCACTTATTCACTAGCTACACTTATTTAAAAGTGCGGCATTCGCCACATTTACGTAGCCGCACTTAGGTCATGTGTAGCAAACTGTTTTTCCACATTTATAAGTGTGGCGAAAAACTATTTTACGTGCACCAAAATACCAACTTTCTTGTAGTATGTAAGTATGTATGTATTTAATCATTAAATATAATTGCCCCCAATAAAAAAACTGCCCCCAGTCCAATTGACCCAAACCAATTAAATAGTATACACATCCAATCTAATTATCCAAAAGTGGCCCAATCATTAATAATTCTTTTATTATAAAATAACTTTTAGGCAATGTTTTGAGGCGTTACAGACTATATGTGATATGCAAAAAATTTAAAAAAATATAAATGTAAATAACTAATTATTTGAAAAACGTTTTCATTAAAGGCTATCGTCAAATAACATTTTCAGAATGCTAATGCTAATCTCTAATACTGATGTCAAACAGGGCACCCCGGGATATATACTTAACCCTGTACGTCGATGGCATTTATTGTGATATTGTGATGAAATCTTCTTCCCAGTCTTGCAAGTTAATTCTTTCCTCTAAGAGCATAGACAATGACAAGTAAAATATGGAATGCCACACGGTGACGTGGAGTATTTTAACCAATCAAAATCAGTCCACTCAGCGTGTGGCAAGTGAGTGGAGTGATATTCCTTCCAATGGCAAGTCATTGCTTTTGTCAGTTTTTACACTTTTTAAACATATTTTAATTATTAAAAATTATTTTACTTATCTTTTTTTCATAAAAATGAATGTACTCCTTTTTTAATTTTTTTTACAAAACATAACAAATTAAAAAAAGAGTGCCTTGCAACTACCATGTCAAGCATGACAAAATCTTTTAGCCACACGGGGCAAATGGATTAATTGGATGTTGTGGCAGTGCGTGGCAAGGAATTGCCTTGCCACTGCCGGTTCTCTTAATCCATTACTCGTAACTGTATTAATTATTTCTTGTTCTAGGTAGGTATTTCCAATCTTTTATTCTATTATAACTAAAAAATCACGTGGTACGTATTTTCAATTCTTGAGTTGACTCTAAATATTATGCCATTTTCTTATTATTAAAAAGTTATCCAAATATGTCAAAAAAAAGTACTCCTAAATAAAAGTTGGTGGATAATGGAACAGCGAGCCTTCCCGAAGTTGCAATTTAGTCTACGGCGTATCGATGTCGTGCTTCATAGAGAGCCGCGTCGAGTGCACGCTTAACATTCTTTGGATTGATCCTTTTCTGATGCAAGATATTGTGGGCTTTGTCTCTCATGGCCGCTTCTTTGTTTTCGCAAGCCTCCACGATAGTCTCCACAGTGCTATATATGCGGGCGTGCTCTCGTGCCCTAGCTGGGCATCGAGGTTCTCCCAAATGAGATCTCTTGAAGCTCCGCCGGGTTGGGAATAGAAGGTAGAGGCGAGGAGGAAGCCCTTTCCTTAGCACGAGCCTTGCTTGATCGAAGGAATTGCTTTATAGCATCAAAAAATAGGGTTCGGTTGAGATCAATAGGCGCCTCCATCCACACTTAAAATGAGTGGAAAGAAGTTGGTCAAATCCAGACCTATTAGGCAACCAACTCAAGTTACTCAACTACAAGTTGAGGTTTATATTCGTAGTCTTGTGAATGGTTTTATATTTACCGAATGTCACTACCACGAAAATGACCTTTTAAATAGGTTATTTGGACCCTTTTAAATCGGTGTTGAACCGATGCAAAAGCCAGCGATGCAAATACTCAGGTCACTTTTTGCATCGGTTGTTAAAACCGATGCAAAAGCCCTTCATAGAAAATGGCGCCATTTTTGTGTAGAAGCATTTGATTCGGTTATTTTGTAATAATCGATTCAAAAGATACTCATTTGAATCGGTTATTACAAAATAACCGATTCAAATGCTTCTACCCCAAAATGGCGCCATTCTTGGGAAGGGTCTTTTGGATTGGTTATTTAGTAATAACCGATTCAAATGAGTATTTTTGAATCGGTTATTACAAAATAATCGATTCAAAAGTATATAATATTTTCAAAGGCCTATTTTGTTTGTTCCCGATCCACTCTGTTTCAACTTTGCAGAAAATTCAACCCATCAACACAAAAGTAACTAACACAAATACATTCACAAAACTCAAATGCCACAAAACAAATTAAACCAAAAAAGTAAACATTTACATCCACGCCACTTGTACATGTTAAAAAATATAACAGTAAAACTACTACGTACTCTTCTAAGTTTTAACAACACAACTAAAAGCCAAACAACTACATTGTACTCTACTAACTTACATTTAATTATGCTATACAACACAAATGGGACTTATACAAGTTCATCGAGAAAACCCCTCGCCCAAAACTCTCTAATCTCATCTAACTCAGCTCTAGTATAAGGCATAGTAGACTGAAATACCTGCAATAATACGAAAACAACTTACGACATAAAGTTTAATAATCATTACCCTACACTTCATTACTTTCAAAAACACTAAAACAAACTTACCTCGGATAACGGTACTGAACATTGTGCACACATATTGACGATGAGCCAACAAAATCGCATTGTATAATAACCACACTCAACGTTCCCATCTTGTTGGGGTACTCCGGGAACATCAACCCAATCCGGTCGAGCCTTAAGCTGAGGCATATGTCGTTCCCAAAGTAACCGCCAAGACCTTTAATATATGTAAAAAACAAATTAATAAGAAATAAATTTCTTAATACTCACTCGTTGACGAAAGTCTTCACCTTCCGTTTCTTATGCCCTCCGGTCGACTTGATTGAGTTTAGAAAATACACTTTGTTTTCAAACAAACATATTACAACTAACACCCAATGTCGCCTACAATTGAAAAAGCGTTAGTCACAAACTTAAAATAAAAAACCAAAATACATATTGGAAATTGGAAATGATTTAGAAAATATACGGTGTCGATAGATACAATGGCATAAGTATCCAGGGTCGCGATTGATAGGTCTCGAGTGCTCTATCCAGATACTGGTGATCTCCATATTCCACCACGTATGCTATGTTCTCCGGACATAACAACCCGACAGACGCAATGCCCCGCTCCATCATATGATCGTGCAATAATCTAGTAATTTCACATGTAAACAAGAATTACAATTATAAGAAATAATCATAATTACAATAGTAATTTATTCGTACATAGTGCTTGACATACCTAAAGAAAACAATGATGATGGTCTGATCGACCTCCTCCCGTCGCATGAACTCACGTATATTCTCCGGACGCATCCTCAGCTCCGTCTCCTCCGGATAGAGCATGGACTTAGGATTGAGAATATCGCTGATGGTAGGTAAAGCAGATCTCTGCACCTCGGCCCGAATGCGACGTATGAGCTCCGGTCAACAACATCCTCTACGGGAGAGCTAGGAGCAGTGGGACGTACGCCGAGAATGGGACGAGATTTGCTTGATGAGAAGTCGCCATGTCGAGCCGTCTGTAGCTCTCGATATCTATAATGGTTCAAGTAAGAATATGCTCGCCGGACAATTAGGGATTTTGAGGGGTTATTTAGCTGCAATCAGCACGAATAAGGACTTTGTACGGAAGCAGTGTTTATCATTGAATCGAAGACGGACCTTGCGATGGAAGGAAATGTGGATTTGAAATCATAGAAAAGAGAACCTGTTAGGTTAGGGTTTATAGGGCGGGAATTGAACGGGACGAGAAAGAGTTTGAATAGGATGATTCGTCGTCATGTCCAGTAGTCCATGCTTTTTGCATCTCATCTCGAACTGGCCTTTGTCTATATATAGCTGCTTCATTTTTTTGTACATAAAACATCATTTTTTATAAAAAAAAATTGCACTAAGAGCCTGTTTTTTAGGTTAGGTTCCCAGAATTAGATGTTGGAAAAAACTGAAAGAAGTTAGAAGAAACTGGAAGGACTTGAAAATATTTGCAAATTTAAAGTGTTAAAAAGATACTCAATTAAATGATCACCAAATAAATATATGAGAAAACTCTAATTTAAGAATATAAAAAATCTTTCCATGTCCGTATTTTTGGACGAGTGCTTCTATGGTGCGCACCATGGGTACATACTATTTTTGTAGACTTTCTCGCATGATTTTTTTAAAAAAATAGATGATTATTTAAAAAGTAAAAAAATATTTATTTTGCTCATATATAGATTCATAGTGGACATTAAGTCCTCAAATCCTCAATACAATTTGTCTTTTTGAATATACAATTTTATTATATATATTCATCATATATAAATATCTTTTTCAATTTTTTTTTTAAAATCATTTTCAAGTCGTTGGAGGGACTGGAAGCTAAAAAGTTGAAGAAACAAGAAGCAATTCAAAAAGTTACAAGTTGATTTTTTTTAACTCAAAACAAATAAATTTTTACGGATTATATTCTAACAAAGTCAAATCCTATAAATGGTCAATATAATACAGTAGTCAATTTTGGCTTGATGACCCGTCATCCTTATCATGACATCATACGTAAGTACGTTTCCGACTTGTTCTGTTTATTGTTTCTACTCCCTCCGTCCCTAAATATTTGTCACACTTGTATTCCCAAAGCAAAATATCAAATTTTTTAAATTCATTTTATTTCCATATTCGTATGGAAATAAAAAATAAAATTTACATATCAAAATACTACATGAAAAGTTCTTCGAAATAAGAGGTGTCAAGAATATTTTATTTTATCAAATAACTAATAAAAATGTAGAAATAAACAAAAGTTCTCGCGACTGCTGAAAAAGCAAATGTTGTGAATATTTTGGGACGGAGAGAGTATTTTAAATTTGTTATTACGGAGTATTTCCCATTTCAAATTATTTGTGCTATAAACTCAGAATGATAACACAATAAATCCTCATTAATTAGTAAAGAAAACACTCTAAATATGAGTAAAACATGGATCATATCCTCAAGACTTTCCTTTAAAATACTCTTGACCCCAAGTGCCCAATAGCCTCACCATTCTCTCTCCTCGGCACCTTTGATTCGCACCATCGCACTACCGCCGCTGCCATGTTGCCATCATTGGCAACCCTCTGCTGCCATCGCCGTTGCCCCTTTTCGCCATCGCTCCCTCCCCCTCGTTGCCCTGCCTTTTCAATTTGCATATATCTTTGTGTTTATTAGATCTTTACTTGGATTTGTTGAGTGTTGTATGTATCGTTTGTGTATATTTTGGCTATAATTTTAGCAAATCTAAGATATTTTTGTCCCCCTAAAAAAGACTTGTCTTTTTATTTTCTGATAATTGATGTTTATATCAATTTAATAAAGCTTTCAAACTACAATTATATGATTCATGTCCAATTTTCCTTTGTGTGACACTATAAATTGCCATATATGACATTACATATGGACATCTATGGCATCATATATTGTCATTGGTGACATTATGTGGTACTTGACACTATTTTTTTGACACTCTATTTGGCAGTTAACCTGGCATTGTGATATCAACTAGGCAAATTCTAGTGGTGATATTGGTGAAAGTGGTAGAGATCAGAGATATCGGCAGAGACGGTGAAAAATCAACGATGGCAACCCACTCCTTGTTCGACCTAGCACTAGTACAAAGGCAGCCCAATCTCACAAGCTTTTTCTCTGTGCAGACCAACACCGACTTCTATCACCAACTAGTGTCGGCATCCAGCATTATATTGGCCGTATCTCCGAACTAGGCCCCTTGACTTCGTGAATTAGCGACAAATAGAGGTGGCTCTAAGGAGACTCATTGTGTAGACGAGGAGAAAGCAACACTGATCTGCGACGAGTTGTGCGTCAACTTTTTTTTACATTTTTTATAATTTTAGTGAAAAAAGGAAAAAGAAAAAGAAAATTAAAGGGGAATAAGTATGTAGCAAAGAGGAGAGAATGCTTGATCAGGAAAAAAAAGCAATGTACGTATATGATCACAAGAAAGGAGCTAGGGATATGTTTGGATTAATTAGGTCAAATACTCCTATTTAGAGGAGTTTATATTTGGACTCCTATTTTGAAGACATGACATGTGTTTTACTCTTAATTTGGTCCTTATCCCTAAAAAATTTGAAAATACTAAAATAGAAGTCATAAGTCTTTTAATACCAAAATAGAAGTTCACACTGTCATTGTTACATTGTCAAACTTACCACATTGTCGCATTGTAACTGCCACATGATCACCGCCACACTGCCATCCATTGCCGCCGTCGGCACCAGAGTGATGCTGCATATCGCTGACGATTGACTAATCGCGCTGACATATTACACTGTCATCACTTTTCCATCACACTGTCATTATACTTCTATTTTGGTTTTAAAAGACATGTGAGTCTTGTTTTGGTATTTTCAAACTTTTTTACTCCTATCTAGGGAGATTTCTTATTTTTCATTCATGTGAAGGATTGTTGAAATTTTTGGTATTTCTAATAGGTTTTAAATGGACCAAGTTAGGTATATTTATCAACAGGTCCACTAACGGTTTTAACCATTAATTAATGGACATATGTTCTCTTAAATGAGATAAATATTTTGATAATTTAAACGCTAAAATAGTAGAGGGTGAATGAGAAATTGATTAATAGAGTTAACCCGTTAATAGAAGAATACGGTAAGAATTGCAATTTTTGTAGTTTTATTTAACCAATCTTCTATTATTATTTTTAAGTATTGTTTTAAATTAGTTTATTTTTACGAAGTTAACTAATCATTGATCTTCAATTATTTGGGAGAAATTTTAAACGAAGCGAGCATAGTGTAACGTAACGGACGTGTTAATGTTTATTTAATTACCATTAACATGCCATTAATGCCCCCTAAGGAATAATATTTATTGAAATCTTTTAATTGAAAATTTATTACTCCGTATCAAGTTTATAAGTTATTGAAATTTTTTAATAATAAAAAAAGGTTGTGCACCACATATTCTTTACTCTTTCAATTGTGTATCGTCCAGTTATCATTTGCGAGTTAAGAATACTCGTATCCCCAAATTCTTTTTTTAAATTTGTCCATCTAAGGAGTACTCATTTGCGAGCAATGCAATTTCATTCAGGAGATTGGGAATAGTTGGAGAAATTTCAAAATTTGCCAAATTGTAGTAGCCCCAAAATAAAATTAAAGAGAAATGCTAGATTTACAAATAAAATAGTCACAAAATTCACAAACCTACTATTTATGAATTTCAATAAAAAAAATTAAATAGTCTAAAATAATTTCAAAATACAAATTTAAATCATAAATAAGTTTATGAAATTTATGATCATTTTATATGTGAACCTAGCATTGTTCAAAATTAAAAGGTGCGTACTCCATCCTAAGCAACCATTGACAAATCAAATTCATTACGATAATTAATTAAAATTATTATTGATTTAGTCTGTTTCAAAATTTATTTTAAAAAAATAAATGCATATATAATTAAAGTTGATAATACATGACATTACATAGTTCTATATTTCAATTGAGTAATTTCCAAAATGGTACTCAATAATTATGTGTTTTTCCATATTAGTCATCAAGATGAACTAATTACCAAGATGGTACTTGCTAATTGAAAATAATGTCCAGTTTAGTCTTCCTGACTAACGATTGTCAAAACATCGTCAAAATGATATTAAAATGTATATTAATTTTTCAAATTGATCATATATAATTGTATGTATGTATGTGTGTGTGTGTGTGACTTTTTCACTTGGCTTTTGATCCGAAATGTCAAAATCCGAAAAGCCAAGGGTTGTAGCTTTTGAACTTGGCTTTAAAAAAATTATTTTTTTAAATCATTTTTCTTGAAAGATATTTTATAATATATGAAAAAATAAAAAATTATGGTGAATGTTATGATGAACTTTAAATTTAGGGTGAATTTTAAATTTTATGGTGAATTAAAATTTATGGTGAATTTTAAATTTTCAAAAAAAAATTATGAGAAAATCAAAAGTAA